AAAAAAAAAAAAAAAAAAAAAAAAAGAACAGGGAAGTTTCAGTAGGTTTATGGACTTGTATGCTGATAGTAGTTTGATCCCAGGAGTTTAAGACCAGCCTGAACAAGAACAAACCTCAAAAACTGGTAGGTAAGACAGAGTAAGATGGCTCAGCAGACAAATGCACTTGCCACAAAGCCTGACGACCCGAATTTAATCCCTGGGACACAGGATGGCAGAGGAGGAAGGAAACTGGTTCTTGAAAGTTGACCTCTGACCTTTACACATCAATCATGGCATGTGTACAGGTGCACTAAAGTGGGTTACTAGGGATGGACGGCCTGTTTTTAACTAACTAACTAACTAACTAACTAACTAACTAACTAACTATCTATGGGTGTTTTGCCCCATATATATCTATGTACCACATGCTTGCCTGGCACCTGCAAGACCAGAAAAGGACTACAGATCCCCTGGGACTTGAGTTACAGAGGTTTGTAAGGCATGATGTGGGTGCCAGGAATAGATTCTAGGTCCTCTGGAAGATGAGCAGCCAGTGCTCTTAAATACTGAACCATCTCTTCTTTAGTTCCCCCCCCCACACACACACCTTTTTTTTAGACAACGGTTTCACCATGCAGCTCTGGATAGCATAGAGTTCACTGTGTGCAGGCTGGCATTGATTCCACAGAGCTTTGCTTCCTAAGTGTTGGGGTTGAAAGGATGTACCACCAGCTGGACAGTGGTGGTGCGCTCCTTTAATCCCAGTAATCAGGATGCCGAGGCAGGTGGATCTCTGAGTCCCAGGCACAGTGAGTTCCAGAACAGCACAGCAAGGACGACACAGTGAAACCCTGTCTTGAAAAATAAAATAAAAAAAAAACAAAGAGCGTGTCATGGGGTTTTGTTGTTGTTTTTGCTTCTGTTTCTTCTTTTCTTTCTCTTTTTCTTTTTTGATCTCATTAAATAGACCCGCATGCCTGGAAGTTTCTATGTTGATGAAGTTGGTCTCAAATTTTTGCCACTACTTCCTGAGTGCTAGCATGTAGGTTGCTCCTCCAGTGCTGGCATAGATAGAAGTCACTTTATCAATAGGGCTTGAGTACATTTTGTGTGTGACAGGTGTTACCGCTCTTTTCACTAATGCGTGAAGTGAGCTGGTTGTGTCTCAGCCTGCTCTCCAGCTCTGGGGATTTTTTTGTTTTGTTGTTGTTTGGTTTTGTCTCTGACCATCCTGTCTCTCTGCCTACGCACTCCAGAACAACTCCAGAATTCTCTCTGCCCTGCCCTGAAAGGCCTGCTACATTTCAGCCTTCATTAACCATTTGGTGTGAAGCTTGAGACTTTCTTTCCCTGTGTGGCCACCAGGGGGCAGCCTACACCCAGCACATGATTTGGGTAGGCTGGGCGCTGCCCCTGTAGGTGGGTTTGAAGATGCTACATCTCACCGGGGGTGGGGGGAAAACAGCTGGTACCATCACTGAAGGCGATGGATTTGTCCCCGCTGCTGTGAAGAAGCTTGGGCCTTCCAGGAGATCTGCGGCTGCCATCTCTAAAGCTTGTTCCAGGATCTGAGGGTGGCGTTTGAAAATTGTAGAGGAAAAAGAACACGCGCCTTAGAAACAGGCACAGGAAGCCTGTTCCTCACCCCTAACTTTCCACACATTCCAGCCCAGGTCATCCCATCTTCAGCGGGCTGGAGGAAACCGGAAGCTTCTGGATTTTGAGAACTCAGCCTAGCTAAGGACTGTGCTCTATCTCTCCACTCTGATCAGCCAGACAGCGGAGCAATTTCTTTCCAAGGACGTCTTAGGCCTCTCCCTTCTCTTACTTGCTTGATTCAGATTATATACTGTGGTGGTTTAAATGAGAAATGGCCTCTGTAGATGCATGTATTACAACGCCTGGTTCTGGATTAGTGTTATTGTTTGGGGGAGGTTAGAGAACATTTAGGTCAGTACTTTCTCAACCTGTGGGTCGCGACCCTTTGGGGATTGTCAACTGATCCTTTCACAGGGGTCGCCTTAGACCACTGGAAAACACAGATATTTATATTGCAATCCATAACAGTAGCAAAATGATAGTTATGGAGCAATAAAAGTATGGTTGGGGGTCACCACAACAGGATGGTTGCAGTAGGAAGGTGACAACCTCTGCTTCAGGAGTTGATGAGAGTATATTACAGTCTTAGTCCGCTTTAGTTTGCCCTCTTTGCTTCCGGGTTATGGTCAAAGACAGGCTCTGGCCTTCCGCTGCCTCACCTCCCGCCATTAGGGAGTTCTCCCTCAGGAATGTAGCCGAGCAAACTTTTCAGTACGTTGATTTCAGCTAGGGTGGGTATACAGCAGCAGAGAGGTAACTAAGACATAAACTAACAAGTTTTCCAGGTGTGTACTTTACTCAGGCATGGTGGGGCATACCTATGCATCTGTGAGTTCAGAGCCAACCAGCGATATGACAAAACTCTGTCTCAAGCATGCCAGACAGGGAGGCTCGAATAAGGCAGAGAGCAACAGAGGAAGAGATCCAGTATTGATCTCTGGACTTAGTCTTCCCAAGACCAAGACTTCCCAGACTTTACTTGGAGTCTGGGAGTCTAACGGGTCATTAAGTTTGTGCAAAGAGTGCTTTGACCTGCTAAGACATCGTGCCAGATTTTTGTGTGTGTGTGTGTGTGTGTTTCACAACTTTAATAGAATATTCTAACTATTCTGTACAAATTGAAAACACCGTATTCAGTTACAAACGTGTTATTGGGTAAGGCTGAGTACCCTCTACATGGCTGGTCACTGTAGACATGGCTGTCCTGGCTACCAGAGACCAACCAGATACTCGGAAACACGCCCCCCCCCACACACACACACCAGCCACCAACTGGTCACTAAACCCAGGTGTGGCTCTGGTGTGCACAGTACAAACTGAAGCTGTACTCTACAGGCCAGAGACCCGTTGTGAGGGAGGACGTCTGCCCCCTGGCTACAGCCTGCCAACAGCGTGCCAGATTTTTAAAACAATTTTTGACAGTGTCTCATGTAGCTCAGGTTGGCTTCAAACTCACTCTGCAGCCAAGGGTGAGAATGACCTTCAACGCTACTCCTTCTGGCTTCAACTCCAAGTTTCAGGAACTACAGGCATGAGGGGGGCACCCCTTTTCTTTTGTAAAGAAAGGGAAGGAGAGCAACCTTTCATCTTTACAAAGAGCCTATCTTCTGTGGGAGGGACGTGTGGGCCAGAGAATCAGTGAACAGATCCTGCAGCTGCGTCCCACACTCCTTGGCGATGGCTGGGCATCTCGTATCCTTTGCCTTCTCCAGTCTTTGGGAGGCCTTTCACCCTTTCCTTGACTGGCACAGCTCAGACCGCCTGGGCATCTGGTTGTGACCTTTTTGCTATCTTTCTCTATCTCCAGGCGCTTTGGTTCTGCCCCTTCAATCACAAAAGCTTACCAGCAGTTTGAAGGCTAACGTCTGTGTTTTTATCTTGCTACTCACACGAGAGACTCACTCAGCTCGAAGGCCACTTGAATTTTTATAGCGTTAACTCTTCCATGTAGGTCTGTGATCTACTTTTAATTTTTAAATTTAATTTAAAATTTTAATAATTAATTAATTTATGGTTGATAAGATATGACCTAGTTAAACAGCATTTGCTGGCTTTAAACTCAGGATCCTTCTGTTCTAGACCCTTAAATCGTGGGCTCCCAGGCCCGGGCTCGGTGTTTTATTTTTGTTACAGTTAAGGAGCAATCCATACGTGTGTTCCCTGCAGGTGGACGTTCAGTTGTGTTAGTTCTAGATAATGAAAACAAAGGGGTTTTTGTTGTGTTGTTTTGGAAACTGGGTCTCATGTAGTTCAGGCTGGTCTTGAACTCCCAGTCCTGTATCTACCCCTAGAGGGCCGGGACTACAGGCATAGAGTGTCATGCTCTGTTCTCTCTGCAGAGAATTAATTACCTTGGCCTCTTTGTCTAAACTTGGCTGACTGTAAATTAGGATTTGATCCTGGATTCTTGACTTGGCTATTTGTTAGGCCTCCCTGTAAGCAAGAAGATCAGAGTTCCCTTTGGGGCTTTCATTTAAAGATGGAGTTGGGGAGCACTGCTCTAGGGGGAAGTGACCTGCTGGTTGGGAGAGAGGGGTTTAGGTTAGGGTGGGCTAAGATGATGGAATGAACAGGATGTCCCAGCCTCTCCCTGTCCTTGTGAGAAGCAGGTGTTACATTCCTGTGCCATAAATCAACCCTGTGTGTGTGTGTGTGTGTGTGTGTGTGCGCGCGCGCGCGCACAGGGGCAGGGCAGAGAAAGAATGTGTATGTCTCAGAGAAGGGACGTGGCCTCCCCACCCAGTCATCTCCCTGCATAGTCTCCTGGTTCTCTAGCCCTTAGCTTGCTACTTCAGCATGTCACATTCTCCAGCTGCCCTGATGAGCCTGCCAAGCCTCTACTTACACCAAGGCCAAAGGCACTCAGGCTCAAAATAGCCAGGCCATGGAGAACGCACTTGGAGAGAGTCGGGCCAATCACCCAGGGCCCCTTCTCCGGTTGGGATACACAGGGAAGGGAAGGGAGATAAAGACTGCCCAAGCTATGCAAAGTTAACTTGGCTCACAGTAGTGGGAAGGTGCCTGGGCGACTTGAGATAAGGTGCTAATTTCACAGACTCACTGCCCAGCCAGGGCCGTGGCAACTGTGGCCTCAGATCAGGAAGAGAAACAGAAATGCTGGCAGGAGGAAGAGGGTGTGGGCACCAAACAGGCTCGGAGCTAGAGTGACAGCCCCCCCCCCCCCCCGCCACCCCTCCTGTCCCCACTCAGAGACAGGCAGCTTTTGTGAGAGTCAAACACACTTTATTCCAGATAAGAATGTCTGAACAGAAGGCCTTGGGCAGGGGCCCTGCAAAGAGCTCTGCCACAGGCCTCTCTGTAAACAGAGCAAAGATCATCACGTAAACCTGGCACAAAAGGACAGAGGGGTTTGGGACAAGGTCACCTTGGGCCAGCCCTGCCTGGGCGAGTGGGGGAGCAGCTCTCATGGGCGCCAGGGTGGAGGAGGGGATAGGCCTTGCAGATTTAGTGTTACCTCCACAGGGAAGGCAGTAAGTGAATTGGGGGAGTCAGCACATGATTAGAAGGGTCTGAGATCCACAGTACAGGAGGTAGGCCAGGGCTCGGCAGGCCTGGGCAGCGTCCGTCTCCACACCTGCGCAGGCAGCCCAACTGTCACCTCCAATTAGCAAACTGTAAATGACACTGCGCTGCCCTGCCCAGGACACCACTCCTGAAACCTGGGTCAGCGTAGGGGTTGGGGAGGGAGTCTCAGTGGGCAGATCAAGGCAGGCCTGCCGGCAGAACCAACCTTCCTGACCACAGCCTCAGGACATCATGATCAGAGTGCAGAAGGGCTCAGGGAAGCGCTAGGAGAGTGCCAATTTTAACTTCTGCCTTAGGGTGTAGTGTTGGGCAAGGCCCATTCACTCACAGACTAGGCAGAAGGGAATCTAAGATCCGGAAGCCCAGTGCTGCAAGTCTGTGAGACCCTCCCATTCCCAGGGATGCTATGCTGTACCAACAGGGCTGGGGAGGGGGGTGTTAGGGACGGTGGTGGTTATCCTGGGACCCTTGGGATAGCCCAGATGGGGCCAGCTGAATTTCCTGAATACTAATTGGAGAGGGCTAGGCAAGGGATGACAGCAGCATCTTCCTGACTGTCCCTGCTAGTGGAGTGGGACATGTTCCATAAGCAATGTCCCCATCTAGGAGAGAACAGATTGCCATCCTCCTCCAAGGTCTGACCAAGAAGACTGAATAGGGACCCCTTGCATCCTGAGGGTTCTGTGACCCCATGTGGCCGTGCAGGTTGGCTCACTAGTAGGGGTGGAACAGGGCTGTCTGTCTGGAGGCCAGGAGGCCAAGCTGGTGCCGTGGGAATGGGTGGGTACTCGGCACAGTCATTCAGCTCTCAAGTGAAAGTCTGTATGTTACACACAAGGCTTGGGGTAGAGAGACCCAGGGAAGGCCAGCACTACCTAAGTGAGTCACAGCGGGGACAGGGGGTTGCAGGGCAACACAAATGCATGCCCAGGTATCCAGGGATCACGACCAGCAGGCAAGAGAGATACAGACAATCACTGCGGAGGCGGGCAGGAGAGCTGCTCTGGGCATGCACCCTGCCTGGGACTCACTCATCAAACTTTCCTTCCCGAATATGCTCAAAGGAGAAGGGGAAGAACTTGAAGCCAGTCCCGGTGTAGAATTTATTCTGGAATTCCACCCTGGAAAGAAGAAGAGCAAAGCTGTCATTTCACAGGGAAGATGAAATAGGGCCGAGTGAGTGTGGTGGCCCATGCTTCAGCTATGGGGGACAGAGGCAGGGGGATCTGTAGCCAGCCAGGGCAACATAGTGAGACCCTCTCAAAAATAAAATAAAATAAAATAAAATAAAATAAAATAAAATAAAATAAAATAAAATAAAATAGGTTAAATGGCTCAGTGGTTAGAGACGTGCTGCTCTTGTTGAGGATTTGAGTTCGGTTCCCAGCACCCACATGGCTGCTCACAACTGCCTGTAACTCCAGCTGCTAGAGATTTGACATACTCTTCTGGTCTCCACGCCTCCCCTGCCCCAGACACATAAATAATTTTTTTTTTTTTTTTTTTTGTTTTTGGATTTTCGAGACAGGGTTTCTCTGTGTAGCCCGGGCTGTCCTGTAACTCACTCTGTAGACCAGGCTGGTCTTGAACTCAGAAATCCACCTGCCTCTGCCTCCCAAGTGCTGGGATTAAAGGCGTGCACCACCACTGCCCAGCAATAAAAATGTTTTAAAAAATAAAAAAATAGGGAGCTGGAGAGATGGCTCAGTGGTTAAGAGCACTGACTGCTCTTCCCAGGTCCCAAGTTCAATTCCCAGCAACCACATGGTGGCTCCCAACCATCTGTAATGGGATCAGATGCCCTCTTCTGGTGTGTGACAGTGTACTCACATATATAAAATAAATCTTTAAAGAAAATAACATTTCAAATTTATTAGGAGGGGAGGTCAGAGGTCAAGCTTCGTGGAATCAGTTCTCTTCCACCTCTTCTGTGTTCGGGGGCCAAACTCAGGTCGCCAGGCTTGAGTGGCTGCACCTTTCCCACAGGCCCACCCTCAGAAAGCCGGCAGGAGAGTTTGCCTGGGTAAGTCTGTTTGTCCTAACATCTCATTCTCTCTGTCCTCTAAACACTGTAGTGGCCCAGAAAGCACAGTGTGACAGCAATAAGCTAATGAAGTCCCACCGATCCCTTCCTGCTAGGAGCTCACACAGCCCACCTCTCAGGGAAGCCTCCAGGTTCTGAGTAAACATACTCCCCCCTCCCCCTGCCACCAAGGAGAGGAGACTTGGGAGCAAATGTTGAAGGGGATCACTTCAGAGGAGGAAACTCTCAGGAAGGAAGGGGAGGCTGGTGGAGGGGAATTCTTCTTAAAGCAAAAATATTCTCCAACCTCAAAAACATCTGAGAAAGAATTCTTCTCTAGAGACTAAAGGGAAAACTAGGGCCTTAACTGTCTTCCCAGGCAGATCGGCAGCAGTCCCTGCTGGGCTTTGGGGCCTTTTCCTACCCAAAGGGGCAGGAAAAGTCAGGGTTGCCTGCCTGTTTCCTCCCGCACACTCCCCTGGACGGCAGCCCAGCAGCCAAACCACAACCAAATATGGGCAGAAACAGGCACGTGTGATTCAGAGAAAAAGGCCGAGCAGCTCTGGAACATAGTTTCCACTCGGCACCGTGTGACTCTTGCAAGAACACACAGGGACGGGACTGTGGCGGGCTCGAGGGGACGACGACAAAGGCATCAAGGCGCTTCACGGCCTGGAGACTGACCCAGCTCTACAGCCCAGCCTTCACTTTAGTTACAATGCGACAGTGGTGGGCAGGAGGAGGTGCCCAGTGGTGGATCAGAATCCCAGCTGCCCCTTCAGTTCCAGGGTGCCTGCTTGAGGACATAGCGTCAGTGCTATGGCCTCTCCTGTTGTGAGAAGTAGGGAGAAGCTGCAGAACTGATCCTATGGTTCCCCGCCCCCACATCCTGCAGGGGCAAGTCCCAGGCCCCAAGGGCTCCCAGGGAATGGAGTCCAGCAAAGGAGCTCTGAGCTAACATCAGCTACAGGGTTCCAGGGCCAGGGCCACCACTGCAGAGCTGGCTTCTAAGCCCTTCTTAAGTCCCAGCTGGCTCTGGGGGAGGGCAACTAGCCTCCTGCTTGCTCCTGCTCCCACTGGGTTTGAGTAGGCCTCACTCACATGTAGCATGGCTATTTCCCAACAACTGAACGAAGCTGTGCCTCTCTCTTTATTCTACACAGTTTAGCCCAAGAGTGCCGTCACGGGTCTCAACTCCCTGGCTGCTCGATCACAAAGTCAGACAATTCTAATTTCCAAACACGGCAAACAGATCCTGAGTTTTCCTTGGAAGATCAAGGGGTCCCAGCCTGTTCAGCAAAAGCCCTGCTTGCCTGTTTGGCTTGAGCCATGAAAGCTCTGCTGTGTGGGTCGATGGAGAAGACCCCACTGGGGCAAGCCAGCAGGAATTCAGGGCAGTCCTAACCAGGAACATCTTGGATCTTTTACATTTTGTTGTTTCCACAGTGTTTATGATATGTGCACGGACACACAGACACAAACACAGACAGACACACACAGACACACAAACACACACACACACACACACACACACACACACACACGAGGCCAGCATTTTGAGGTTATCTAGAGGTCAAATCTGACTTTACCTCCCACCCAGAGTCCTCACCTCAAGCTCCAAGTACAGAGATGGAAAACAATTTCCCTCTGGCCCCACCCTCTTCCCCCAGCCAGGGAAATGAGTGCTTCCTAAGAAAGAACAGACCCAAAGTTGCTTTGTGGGGTGAGATGTGCCAACTCCCGCAAGCGCTTGTGCTGTTCAGTTCTACTGAAATGAACCAACAACTCAAGAGTATCAGGACGGCAAATGGGCTTCTCTGTCACCTCTGCCAGCTTCAGCTCCTGGCAAAGGCCAGCCAGTAAGCCGTGGGGTGTGTGTGTGTGTGTGTGTGTGTGTGTGTGTGTGTGTGCACGGGGCTGAGGGGGCAGATATGAGTGCTCCTGCCATGGTCCATTCTTTTCAGGGCTAGGTGAAGGAAGAAGGGGTTGAGGGGCCTCTTCCCTTCCTGGTGGGGTGTGGTGGAGGGAGGCAGCTTTGGAAGAGGCCTGGAGCGGCTGCTTCTCGGCTCTGCCTCTACCGTTCACATTACCTGATGGCTTGGACATCAGACAACACTGTCAGCCTGGGACTACTGTCCCAGAGTTTTTATTTCAGTACCACAGCGTTCCTCAGGCCTGCTCCCCGGTCCTGTTTCACCAACTAGCATGGACAAGGATGGACTCTTGTCCCGTGACAACAGTCTTATGTATCATCTTGATGGCTGGTTACAACCAGATCCCTGCTTCCTGTCTAATCATGGTGGGGATGAATACCAAGCACACCTTCCATGGTAGGTGGGAAGAGACACGACCCAGGAGAAAGAAACTATATTTTCAAATGTCACTAACCTTATAACCTTCACAGATCTCAGACTAGTGGATTGTGTTATCAAATCAAATTAAAATCAAATGTTCTTCTCAATCCCACCAAAGAAACTCAGAACTTGTGTATCAGGGAAATGCCAGAGATGATGTGAGAGGCGTGAAGATGCTTGTGTCTGGTGTCAGGAATCAGCACCATTATCCCTGGACCGTTTCGGCAAGGGCTGTTCCCTTCTCTCACCAAAGGGCTATTGCTGCTCAGCTCCTTCCAGGTCTTGGCATACTTCTGCATTTGGCCAGTAGAGGGCGCCCAAGCACCAATTAAACTTGGTGGTGCCATGTCTGAGCAGCCACCTATCCCTCCAAAGCCAGGGTTTCGAAACCTGCAGGAAGCTTCCTCTGATTCTCCTCTTCTACTCAATACTTACACTAGCATACAGACAAATAATGTGAGACACGTATTCAAGCCAGTGCTTGCAGACTGCATAAGAGCATTCAGATGGCAGCACCGCCTCCTTCAGGGTCTCCCCATCCTCTACCAGCCTAAGATGTCTGTTTATGGGGCATGCAGCCAGGTCTGCCATGTGGCTACCGTCTTCTGTCTCCACATGAGACAAAGTCACACTCAGAGAGCTCAGGGTTAGCCACCAGTGAGGTCGGAACCTACTTCACACCACCATACCTCTTCACACCACCCTACCTCTTCACACCACCCTACTTCTTCACACCATCCTGTTTCACACCACCCTGTTTCACACTACCCTACTTTTTCACACCACCCTACTTCTCCACACCACCCTACTTCTCCATGTTCCTTTAGGAGAGTAGAGGAAGGCATACGGTCACTTAAAGGTCAAAGGTAAGCCTGTAATCACGGGGGATCTCGCAATAAAACATGGCATCCCAAACTGCCTCCGATCCTGACAAAAGTAAGACCCACGGCCAGGCAACCTCCTCACGACTGCTCTTGCCTTGTCGATCTGCCTGATGGTTCTGATCCAACCTTCATGGCTCCTCACCGTGCCCAGAGTGTGAGTGTACACACAACCAGGCTTTAACACAGGCTGCAATTAAGGAGAGGTGGGCACTTGATCTTCTCTCAAATCTAGAGCTCAGGAGACACAGATGTCAGCATGAAAGCAAGGGGGCCAAGAGGACGAGACAAAGTGAGTCACGGGGAGCTAGGTGCATGGACACTCCCTCGAAGGAGTGGCTGAGGAAGTACACTGCCACCCGCCCCGGCAGCTGGGAGCCTGGCTGATAAAGTGAAGAGAGGGTGCCAAGGCAGCAGCTGAAAGCATGCTGCACTCCCAACCTCCCAGGCTTACAGTAAACAAACCACTGGGTGCAGAGAAGTGGAGTCAGGAGGAGAGGCCAGCTCAGAGAGAACAGCTTCTGCTGAGGCAGCACAGGCTTTCTACAGCAGCTGTGGAGGGAGGACTCCAGCCCACCCCTAACATGCCTCAAGTCTCCCCAGAGCTTGTATAGCCAGGCGCAGGATCTTAAACTTGCAGTGCAGCCAGGGGAGGACCATGTGGGCCATGGAGGGGAGGCTTCTCAGGCCAGGGCTGTGCCAAGCCCTTCTGGAACCCTGAGGTCATCCACACCACCATCACCTCAGTCAGGGCTTTCTGAGTTCGTGATCCCTTCACAGTGTGGGGTCACCTAGAGCTTCCCAGGATTCTGGGATTAACCTTTCCCTGAAATGGGGAACAGGACACAAAGGAGCACAAATGGAGTCCCAAAGAGGCAGAGGCTTCCTGGCCTTTAGGAAATTACAGTTCAGGCACATTTAATAACTATTCATACAAAAATTATTCACTGTTTATCTGAAACTCAATCTAACTGAACATCCTGTAGTATTAAAGAATTCTTAAATTACAGAGTTGCTAGGCCTAGCAAATATGAATACGAGAGAAGTCTAGCAATGTGGCCCAGTGGGTTAAAGCATTTGCTATCAATCTCTTGGAACCACATGGTGGAAGGATAGAGCCAACCTTTGCAAGTTGTCCTCTGACCTCCAGATGTGTACACTTATACCCCAGACACACACACACACACACACACACACACACACACACACACGTACACACCTTTGGAAAAGCTGCTTTAGTGTACCTAGCATCCCACCAAGGCACCACTGGCACAGTGGCCCAGTAAAGGGACAGTTGGGATAGAGTATGCTCTAGAAGTTCCTGGATGGGATCCAGTCTAGTGCTCTAAAGGCAGGAGTCTCAGGCCAGAACAAAACAGAAACACCCTCACACAAAACGAACTGCTAGCCGTGCATGGTAGTTTTAGCCTATAATCCTAACACTTGAGAAGTTGAAGCAGGAGAATTGTGAGTTCAAGACCAGCCTAGCTATATAGTGAGACCCTGTCTAAACAAACAAACAAATAAACAAACAACAGCAAGACCTGTTACCACAACTCCTCCTCCACTTTAAAAGCACAATCAGAAGCACTGAGGAATACTGAAGCAAGGGGTGGGGCCTTTCTTTCCTGGAAGCCATGAGCCGAGCTGGGCTTTCCTGTGGCGCTTTTCTCAGGGTTCTGTGCCAGGGAAGGTGGGGGAAGGATACTGTGGTGAGAACTGGAGAAGGGACAGACTTCTGGTGCTAAGCAAGAGGATGGTCTACTCTTTGTGAGCAAAGGTGTGACTTGCCCCTGGCCACTCACCAGTGTAACCGCAACGCGTGGAGGAAGGCTGAGAGGCCCTCCATGATCAGCAGGATGGCCACGGTCAGAGTGGCAAAGGCGGCGAAGATGAAAAACAGCCCGAGACCCCCGGCCAAACTCCGGACGTGCAGGCCGATGTGGATCACCATGGTCCAAAGTACTTCCGAGAGCTCTGGGGTTCGGGGAGACACAAGGTGCAATTGAGTCTCACAAAAGGGCAGGGGTGTGGGTCTTGCAGTTTGCTCTTCCACCATTTCTGTGTTGAGTCCCTTGAGCCCTGTATCCCTGGCTGCTTTGGGCTGGGTCACTACAAACAGCTAGCTACCCTGAGTCCATGACACATGTTATGTACACTATTCTTGGAGACAGGAGCTGGATGGATTCCAGAACCTTCATGTGTCTCCGTGCTGAGGGAGCCCCACCACTCTAAGGGAGTTTCCAGGGAAGGAGAGGACTGGGGGGGGGGGGGGAGGGGAGGGAGGGGAAGGGGGAGGGGGAGAGGGAGGGAGACAAAGGGAGAGCACACTCACGTGCATGGGCCAGGCTGAGGGCCCAGAGCCGCAGGTACGATGCAGTGTTGGAGATGCAGCCCAGGCAGAACTCAATGGTGTGGATGGCCTGGTGGACCATGGTGTCGCCAAAGTCAAACTGGCATGGGAGGAAACCACAGAGGGGATGATCAGGCGAGGAGGGGAGTACGCAGGAGCTGAGTGGTCCCGGAGCCCTCGCCAGGGCAGGGATTACACTTCTCATAGCTGACCTCTCACCTGTAGAGGGGCTGAGTACTGGTGTCGTGTTGCTTGAGTGGCGATTTCAGCAATGACTTCCCCAGAAATCCTTCCTGGCCTGGCTTCCAACTGGGCACCCTGATACCTATCAATAGCTACACTGTGTCTTTTCTTCCTCCCTCCCTCCCTTCCTTCCTTCCTTCCTCCCTCCCTCCCTCCCTCCCTCCCTCCCTCCCTCCCTCCCTTCCTTCCTTCCTTCCTTCCTTTCTTTTAAAAGACAGAATTTCCCTATGCAGTTTCAGGCTGATCTTGAACTTGGAACCCTATCTCCTTGGCCTCCCTTGGGCCGGTTTCACACAGTGTGGGTCACTGCATCAGGAAATGTCTATCTTTTGGTTTGGTTTTGGAGATAAGGTTTCTCTATGTAGCCTTGACTGTCCTGAAACTGGGATTAAAGGTGTGCACCACTACCACCCAGCTGCGTGTGTGTGTGTGTGTGTGTGTGTGTGTGTGTGTAAGACTGTACCTGCATGTAGGTGAATATGCAGTGTCCTTGGGGGGTCTAGAAAACGGAGTTGGCTTTCTGGAAATGGGGTTACAGGTAGTTGTGAACCACCATGTTGGTGCTGGGAATGAACCTAGGTCCTCTGGAAGAACAGCAATCTCTCTGGCTTCAATGTGTGTCTTTTCTTTCATACAGGGTCTCACTATAGTCCTGACTACTCTGGAACTCACCTTGTGGATCAGGCTGGCTTTGAACTCAGAGATCTGCCTGCGTCTGACTCCCAAGTGCTGGCTTTAGTGGCGTGTGCCACCATGCTCATCAAACTGTGTGTCTTTTTTTTTTTTTTTTTTCAAAGATTTATCTTCCTCATGTATGTCTGGGTACCATGTGCATGCAGTACCTGCAGAGGCCAGAAGAGGGCACCAGAACCTCTGGAATAGGAGTTGAGAGACTGTGAGCATCCAAGCAGGGTGCTGGGAATTGAACCATGGTTCTCTGGAAAAGCAGCCAGCGCTCTTGACCACTGAACTCTCTCTCTCCAGGTCCACACTGTGTATCTTTTTGGGGGAGAGGAGGGTTGTTTTTTCAAGACATGGTTTGGGTAGCTCTGGCTGTTCTGTAGACTCACTCAGTAGACCAGGCTGGCTTTGAACTCAGAGTTCCATTAGCCCGTAAAGGTGTGAGCCACCACCTCTGCTATATTGTACATCTTTTTTATATTTTTAATTTTTTTTCATTTTTCCAGACAGGGTTTCTCTATGTAGCACTGGCTGTGCTGGAATTTACTATGTAGACCAGGCTGGCCTTGATCTCACAGAGATCTGCTTGCCTCAGCTTCCCAAGTGCTGGAATTAAAGGGGTGCGTCACTACCGCCAGGCCACACTGTCTTCAACAATTTTTTTCTCTCCCTGGTGGGCTCTGATCTCCACAGTGGGGCATACCGAGTCAAAAAACCCACTGTATTATTATTTTTCCTGTTTCTGGGATTAAATACCCTGACAAAAGCAACTTAAAAGAGACAGGGTTATTTGGCTCACGGTTCAGAGTACAGTCGTCTTGGTGACAGAGTGCACTGAGTGAGTGCACATCTGTCGGCTTTCCCCTCCCTTCCTTCCGTGCAGGGCCCACGCCCAGGAATGATGCCACTTGTTTTTAAACCCTGTCTTCTCACCTCAGTTAACTGAACTGCAATAACCCTCTCGGAGGCATGGCCCGAGGCTTATCTCACAGGTGACAGCGGATGTTGTCAAGTTGACAGTTAACATTAACTGTCACTGCACTGCACTCATCCAAGTGGCCTGGCCCTGCCAGTGGCCTGGCCCTGCTGATCCCCACCTTACAGCGGAGCTCTGGGCAGATTCTGCTTGGACTATGGCGAGGGCAGACAGGGAGCTACCAGGCAGGAAGCTGTTTGCAAACTGAGCACTGCAAGCCTCCTAACTTCCTCCTCCCAGTCTTCTGAGATCTAGACGACTTCCTTCTCTGACTTCTGAGAAGATCACCAGGAGAAATTTTTGCCAAAAGTACACAAATTTCCCACATGAAGAGCTAGTTGGGAAATACTGTAGGTGTGGCTGGCTTGGTGGCTTGATGGCTTGGTGACTCCTGCTGTAATCCCAGCACTGAGGAGGCTGAGGTGGGAGGACCGTGAGGCTGAGGAGAACCTGGACAACAGAATAAGACTATGTCTGTAAAAAGCAGTAACAAAACAAGTATGTTGGGGAGCCAGGACAGCTCAGCTGGGACACTTGCCCAGCCTGGTTCAATCTGACTTTTTGTATCGAATAAAGGGAGTGGGGGTGGGGTGGAGCTCAGGATCTGGAGGTTCTTAGGAGTTTTTAGGAGCAGTTTTCTGAACTTGTATGTTCTAGAAGGCTCGGGTGGAGAAATAAAAAAAACTCCACCACAGATCAAGCCACACTTTTCTTTCTGACATTGTCTCTTGGAGAGCAGCACAGCACGGCTCTCAGCCTTTGGGCTCCTGAGGCTCGGGCAGCTTCTGCTGTCTTTATGTCAGGGCCTGTCATATGCTATAGCTTCTATACTGTATTAGGGGGCTGCATTGGCAAGCCGTAAGGGTAGGGCCAGTAGGAAGAGGGGCCACTTCCAGCAAGCTACCTTGGGGAATGCCTCATGTCCAGTCATCTCTGTCTAATCCTGTGAATTTGTGGACTTTTCTGTCTTACTCTGAAAATGAGTGGCCCTTGTTACCCTGAGCTACCTCAGTCCTGCAATGCAGAACTCTTTCCAATGCAGGCTGCATGAGCTAATGCAAAAGAAAGCCTGGCGCTCTAAAGAGACCTGGCCTTTATCCCTGGGCTCAGTAAAAGGATGGTGATTTCAGTGTTTTCACTTCATTCAGCCCAATTTTCTCTCATTAAAAAGGAGAACCGAGGTCAGGGTATACTGTGTGAGGAAAAAAAAGTATTTTCAATAAAAGGAAAAAGTGAAATAAAGGAGACCTAGGTATAGCTGTCGACACCTATGATCCCAGCACTTGAAAGGTAGATGCAGGAAGGTGAAGAGCTCAAGGCCATCCTTGGCTACGCAGTGAGTTCTAGGCTAGCCTGGGCTACAGGAGACATTGTCTCCATGTCTATCCTGGAGGAAAGAAAAGAAGGGGAAAACCTTCACTTTCAGGCAATAACTTTGCTTTTTCTTTTCTTTCCTTCTCAGCTTCCTGGGAATGTTTTCTCAGGAGGGATGAGAATTAAGGGAGAAATGTATTCCCGAATTTGGAAGGAGTTGCCCTTCGCCTAGCACAAGCATCTCTGCTGTGACAGCAGGCCCCTCTCTCCATCTGTGCTCTCTCCCAGCTTCTCTCTGTCCTAAGCCCTGGCTCTCACCCTTTGTCCTCCAGAATGGCTTTTCTAAGGGAGGTGGCGACACTGTCTCCCAGTGGTTACATCTGACAGTCACTGTGCCCCTGACTGCACTCTGTGGCACCTGTCACTGCAGCCACCCCCCCCCCTCCTTTCCCACAGAGATGCTTGTTGCCTCTTGGCCTTCCTCCTCTCTGACATTCCTTCCTCTGCATCATGTCCTTCCATGGAGTCATGGCCTCGCCCCTAAGTCTTTTCTGTAGGACTGACATCGCCACACGGAGAACCCCAGGGGTAACTAATTCTCCAGCAAACATTCCCATCTCTGTGCTGCCCATCCTCCACCTCTGTGCTGCTCGCCCTTGGCTAGCTATGCTGTCTCCTGATGTGCCACAGGCCTCCAGACTCAGCATCACTGATTGAAACACAGCAGCCTGTCCTCTGGTCCCACCAAGATGATGCTTGCTATTCCATAGCCAAGTCAGGGCCTTCCCTTCCACCCCGCCTCCCCAGCATGAGTGACTTAATTCACTTTAAGCTATCCAGTCCTTTACTAAATCACATCACACCACAGGATGTCCCTGCCTCCAGGCTGTGCCCTCTCCCTCTCCCTGTCTCTACAGCTCTACCCACGGGGTTTCAGCAGCAGGGCCTGCACACCTCTGAGCTGCTTGTTGCCAAAATAAGACAACTTCTGTCACTCTCTGCCAGCCCCTCCTCTCATGAGTCCCCAGCTCCCACCTCAAAGCTGGACCACTCCTGAGCATGAGCTGAGCCTGTAGACCTGCATCTTTTTTAACACTGTGGATGGTGGGGGGTCTGCCCCTCTTCCCCTCTCCCTGCTCCAGACACTCCTGCTCAGCCAGCATCAGCCCAGGAAGAACCTAAGGGAATCCTTTCCTGCTCTCTTTCCAATTCCCCCCAGCGCCTGCCAGGTGCCCTTCTGTGCTCCCAAAGCGTCCCGGGCACACATCCAGCATGGTGTCTGTCAACAGACCAGGTCCCTACCTTGTCTGGACGATCTCTCCATTTCTATGGCACCATACAGTGCTTGACACACTGAGGGTGCATGACTGGCAGACGGGTGGGTGAGCGTGGATGAGTTGACACACTGAGGGTGCATGACTGGCAGACGGGTGGGTGAGCGTGGATGAGTTGACACACTGAGGGTGCGTGACTGGCAGACGGGTGGGTGAGCGTGGATGAGTTGGTGAAAGAGGAGGTGAGAAGACACAGTGGGGGAGGGGCCACTGACCCTTGTTGAATGGTTACAGCCTTCAAAGATTTCCCAGATATCAGCTAGTCTGGATCTGGTTTGGGCCTGGACTAAGTGCCTTTGAGGGCACAGTTGCCCTGCCTGGAATAAACACAGGTTTACACCCAAGCAATGTGGGGAATTATGGGGGTTCGCTGCACTGCTTCTCAAGACTCTTTTGTTTGAAATCATTACAAAAAATACCAGTTTTCTAATTTTGGCTGTGGGGAATCAATGCTGGAAATAGGCAAAGTTATGACCGTGGCAGAAGCCAGGAAGAGGCAACTTCCTTAGTGTGTTTGGGGCCAGAGAATGGGAAGACTGCACAGGAGCCCCATCTTCTGGATTGTCCCACTCCCGGGGACATGGCTATCTGGGACACTGGCAGATAGCTGACTACATCAGGTAGACATTTGGAGAGCAGTATTGCTGGAGGTGGTGATACAGGTAGAGGGCCAGGCTCCTCAGCAACATGGAATCCCATTCACCCCCCATCCCCTTCAGCCATGCCAGGCAGCTTAGCCAGCAAAGGTTGTTGATGCAGGCAAGGGAAGTCTCTCCAGCCATCAGGGAGACCAAGCACTGCCTGTTTTGACACAGAACAGCAAAGGTTTTCCCGCAGTCATGCACTGTCCCTTGGAGAGACCAGGAGAGGGAAGGGAACAGTTCACAGGTACAGGTTTGTTAGAGAGAAGTTTAGGGGAAAGGTGCAAACAGTGCAGAAAGGTCGTTTAAAACCTATCTCAGAGCGTGAGTGTTGGTAAATGAATTGCTGCTGAGCTACGAGGCCTGGTACTCTAGACATGGTCTGAGCATTTAGCATCTTTTCCGATCTGTTATCCTTCATGGACTTAACATAGAAGGCCTTTCATGCAGATGGATTTCTTTTCCCTGCATGTACCTGAGAGGCAAAGCTCATCTGGAAGGCTGTTCACTTCTCAACCAGGTCATGTGGAGCTAAGACTGACTCCAAGCAAGGGTCCTGTGGCCCTAAGTTGAAGTACCACCAAGCCGATGAGGGCAGCAGGAGAGGCTGCATCTCAGACAGGAGGAAGGGTAAGCTTTGCTTGCAGGCACTCAGAGGAGCAGGGTGAGGACCACTACCCCTGGTGGCAGAGCAACCAACACATTACAGGAGAGGAAGGTGGAGACCCCTGGGACTTAACCCCAGAGGCAGTGACTTCAAGAATGCCAGTATAGACATTACTTGCAGCTCCTTCCAAGCTAGTTTCAGACGTATTAGATCAGCAGTCAACAACACAAGGACAGAGGTGACCGACACGAGATGCAGTTAATGGAGATGAACTGTTTCGGAATGCAGGCTCACAAATTGGTTAGCCATGGCCAGTGAGATGCGGGATGCACGGCGTCATGTGCGTGGCCCCAGGGTGCAGAGGGGGGGACAGAGTGAGCACAAGGATGGGAAGAGAGAAGCCCCAGATAGACATGAAGGCTCGGGTCTTACCACTTCGTCCTCGGTAGGCTTGAAAACACAAATTCACACTTAGTGGGAAGCCGTGCCACACACAAGGTTACAAGCTATGAGCACGCATTTCTGACTATTTGGGGGCAGGATTGTTAACGGGGATAATGTGTCGGAGGCACTCTTCCTTAGCATACACATAAAGGGAAATCACAGAATTAAGATATGGATTTTTAAAAGGCACCCCAACTCTTACAACTAAAAAAAAAACACACACACACATACATAAAAAAAAAACCAAAATTATAGTTAGAGTGGCTAGACTGAAAACAGCCTCAGTCCCATGCTCGCTTTTGCTTAAAAAAACAAAACAAACAAACAATGACTAGGTGAGAGTTACTCGTTCCTTTTGCGGGCATTACACCACGAATGCTCGAGCAAGGACAATGAATTTTAAATCGCTGAAACTGGAAGTAGGGTCAAAAAGAAAAGCTAGCCTGGCCTGATTCTTCTCAATCTAAAAAGAAGACAGACAGCAAAATTTAAAAGCTCTTGAAAAACCAACAAAAACCCCTGGATCAAGAACACATGGATGGGGCAGGCCTCAAAAAGAAACACTGAACACAGCTGCTAGGCAGTGTGGGTGCAGGCTCTTGGGATTGGAGAATGAAGAAGCTATCCTGAAGGCTCCCATGCTTCTGGTTACCAAGAGGTGAGATGCTAGGCGCTGCCTGGGTGGAGAACAGTTAGCAACTGAGGTTACATGCAGTGCACCACAGACCCGAGGAACTCAAGAAGAGCAGAGCGAAGCCATGTGGGCTCTGTGGCCACAGATTAGAGCAGGCCCCACAGGGCAGGCTGCAGCATCCTAAGCAGGCCTGACAGCAGCCGGTCATTAGTAGTTTTGTTTTTCAAGTTGATGATTGAATAAAGCCTCGTAGGAAACAAGACTAGAGCTGCCCAAGGTAAGGAGAGGAAGCCCACGCCACCGGCTCTTACCTCTTCTGCGTCCTCGGAATGGGTGGAGAGCTGGTCATGCTGAATAATTTCAGCATCCTCCTCTGTCGGTCCGTTGCCCACCCTGATCCCACCAAAGTTGAGAGTTCCCTACACAGACGAACAGAAAGAGCAGTATTTGCCTGGGCTTTAATGTGGCACTCTGTGAGGTGGGGAAGGGCGATGGTTAGTACATACGATCCTCAGAAAGGCATACATCCTATCGACAGAAGCAATGCCACCAAAGGGACAAGCTATGTAAAAACAAGTAGCTGTCCCACCCCAGCCACCACCACCACTCTGAACCCCACAAGTGGCAGCCTGCCTTTTACTACCTCCTCCGGTGACACCAAGACAAAGCAACCTTGCCTTGGTCAATGCTAACAGAGTTCTGTGTGAGTGAGAAGCTGAACACGAACACTCCCTCACAGTGAGCACAGCTGATCTGTAAAGTCTGAGAGGGCCCGAGCATTGCTGGAACCGAAGATGAGACTTCCTGAGTGTGGTGTGGGGGTAGGGAGGGCAGTGGGTGACACGATGACTGTACCCTGCTCTGACAGACTTTCAATAGGAGCCCAAGGGTTCCAGCAACATCTACCAGAAATATACCAGGCCTGTCTAGGAACAGAGAGCTTCCCAAGGCCTTGGAAGAAAAAACCAAAACATCACAACATCATAACAGCCACTCATCTGTGACTAAAGAATTCTGAGTTTTAAAAACCATAAAGTAAGGCAGAGACCCCTTTCCATCAGAGGGTTCTGGCAGAGTGAAAGGGGTTTAGGAAGCAGCTCCTGGACCACTTCCTATGGGTTCTATCAACCCAAAGCTGGAGGACTGTCTCCCTGCAGCATGACTGCTCCAGTAAGCTAGACAACATGGAAACAGAGCTGGGAACGTCCCTGTGGCTCCCCTCCTGAGCTTCAACTTTTTGGCACCTCTTTTACTACGACTCACGGGCCAGTTCAGACCCCGGGGTTTATGTGGTAGGGTCTGCTTTTCTTGTAGTGGCAGTCCTACAAGGCTCATAGGAAAGGACACAGGAGGAGCTCTATGGAAGCTACCTTGTTGTTGTTATTGTTTTTTGAGACAGGGTTTTTCCTGTGTAGCCCTGGCTGTCCTTGAAATCAGAGATCTGCCTGCCTCTGCCCAGGACTAAGGCATGCGCTACTACACCCAGCTGGAAGCTACACGCTCAATAGATTCTCAAATGCTATCCCCAGAAAGTATAGACTCAGTATGTCTGGAGAAGGGTACAGGAAAGCACTGCTGAGAAATGATATACTCGCTGTGATGGGCATACCAAAATACAAAATGCACTGACCCCTGGAGATTCAACAGTCCCAATGCCAGGACATCTACGTCTACAAAATCCAGTAGGACACATCCGCATCAGGACACCCTCTGCATCATTGTTTATAATAGCAAAGAACTGGAACAGTTACCGGATGTATCTTCAATAGTGCTTGTGGCATATCCCGCGGATTCTAGGCAATGTTAGGTACCGTAAAAGGATTGGCAATCTCTAAGAAAACAACTCTATTAAGAAACACTGAGAAGCAGAAGATTGCGTCAGTTTAAAACAGGTCCTGAGACATCCCTTCTAGGTGTACACATATGTTTACAAGTGTCTCCACAGATGACAGACATGTGCTGAAGGCAAAGCCTCTACCTTATAGCAATGTCCTGGAGGAGGATAGTGGGGGTACTGAGGCTTCTTAGTTAGTACAAGAGTTCTCCAGCCAAAATGTATCCATTGCTTGCTTGCTCTTTCTCCCTCTCCCTCTCCCTGTTCAGTGAGGGTCATGCATGGAATTATAGGCCACTTTACTTTTTTTTTTCTTCCTCTCATCTCTTTTAATACCAATGTTCAAAGTTTACTAGGTGATTCAGAACTGGGAAGCACTAAGCACTTCCAGGTCAGGCTCAAATAACCCCCTAACTACCTTTAAAAGGAGGGCTCTAAGCATTATAAAGGGCACAGGGGAGACGCCATTGTATCTTGGCCTGGGTCATACAGGGTACAGGAGGAAAGCTTCCAAATTCAAAATTCCCAAAACAAAGTCCATTTCCCTAAGATTTTCCTAGCCAGCAGAAGAGGTGAGAACAGACAGGTTAGACCTCCCAGGCAGACTCTAATGAGTTCCCTGCAGGCTCAGGGAACAAGAGTTACAGGAAAGAGATGAGAGACATCAGCAAAGACAAGAAAAGAAATGCTGAGCTGTGACAATGCCACTTACAAGGACAACCGAGGAGTCAGAAGCAGGACAGGAGCAGATCTGTGCTCACAGCCTCGGCCCCTGGGCTCAAGGGTTCAGGGTCCTTCTTGGAGTGTGGTCATCCTGGCACTGTTGGGCTGCTCTCCAGAGACTCAGCTCCAGATCAGTGGCTAAGCAGTACGAGAGCTTCCAGACGAGGGTTACTATGGAACTTAGCGTGGAAGATGGAGCCACACTTAACGGCACCGAGAGCAATGCCGAGCAAATGAGAAAATGATGTGGAAAGAAAATCAATGCTGGGAAGTACGGTCTTCAACTTGGAAATAATTTCACATGGCAAGATTAAAGTTTCATCTGGCATAAACATGCATTGTTTCCCTTAAAGCAGTGCATGCTAACAGAATAACCCTGACGAGCAAGACTGAAAATCTCCGATGCTGGGCTACATAGACACAGTGCATTCTAAGATTCTGCTGAAATGATGTCAGATGTCTGACATTCAAAGTGCTGTCACTGAATTGTAAGTTAGTATAGAAGAAGGGAAGGTCTAGGCAGATGGCTCTGGTGGCTATGACAGATGTACAGCATGCAGGGGGGCTCAGGAAAACAGCTGAGCACACAAGGCCTTCTGTGACCTTCTCTGAAGAAGGCAAGTCATGACTGAACCCCCCAGCAAACAATGACAAGTATCCCTTAAAGAAGGGCTTGCAAGTACAGAGAACAGAGACATCAATGGAAGAGTTTGAGCCCTGCCTGTCTCCATGCTGAAAACCCACCCCACACGTGATCACAGGATACCGACAAAAAAGTGGATGCGCCCAAAGCTGCCGTCTTAGAGTGAGATGATGGGACTCAAAGAGGGGACACAGTGACCACTTGGCTTCGAAGGTAGGACTGTACTTACACATCCAAACAGAAACTTAGTAGGCCAATGGTAAAGATGATACCTGATCTATTTCCAAGAGGTAGACGGCTCCTCTGTCATGGTCTCAGTGAGCAACAAGGCCACCCTTCTTGATAGCACATGTCCCACACTCTCAAAAGCATTAAAAAAGAATTCGGCTGCACTGTCTGCCACCTCTTTAAACAAACATTTTTGCTTTGCCGGAGTTAAGTGACTCACTGTTGCAGCCGGTGCTGCCTCTAGTCCCTGTTGGCTCGGGGTTGGTGTGACTGGGGCCTCCACGGGTTGCCCTTCCTGATAGTGAGTGGGAGAAAAGAAGGGAGAAGAGAACGAGAGAGGGATGGGGAGGGGAAGGAGAGACGAATGGAGGGCACATGAAAGGATGAAGATGGTCAGAAAAGGGAGAAGGAGGGTCTTGTAACTCAGCTGCTCTCCAACGGAGGGGTCATCTCACAGCCACGGGGATCATGCAACAAGATCTCTTGGGTTTTCCCGGGCAATGCAGTAGGTAAGCATTATTGGATAGCCAGAAATTACACGCAATATCAAACATTTGGCAAGCTTAACTTTGTGTGTATGTGTGTAGAGTGGTATACACACATATGTTAAGTAAACATCTGTGTGTGCATCTGCTGCTTCTTAAATGAAGAAGAAGAAAAAAATCTGTGTGCTTTAAATCAGACCCTTTCCCAGGTGTTTCAGTTGGTGAAAGTGTCACAGTCTCATTTTAAAAGAAAACTGTCTTTGTGTCAGTCCTGCGGCTGCCCAGGCAAACCACATGAGTGAGCTCACTGTCTGCGGCTCTTCTAACCTTGCTTTGACAGATGCAGCATCTAGATGGGCGGGCCCAGGGCTGGACTTTGCTGTGGAGAGTGTGAGAAAATTCACAACCAGGAAAGGTAAAAACATATGATTTATTCTCTCCGATCCAGGTGTCTGAGCAACAAATATGTAGTTCTCTGACATGGCAGGCCCAGTGTTCATGCTCATAAGGAACAGAATACATGCACGTGTGCACAGTTAATTACATCCCCTACTGCCTCGATCTTAAACAAGGAAACAGTCTAGTAACCTGCAGTCATAGAAACACACTCACCAGATGCTTCTTCCTCAGGTACTGATGGCGAAGGATCAGCGGCTTGAACAGCAGCATCCAAGGGACACAGAGCATCGCCACCACTATAAGGAAGCACTGAATTCCTTTCTGCGAAGTAAGAAACAGGAAAGTCACTAATCAAACAGAGTGCTTCCAACAACAGCACAGATGTCCCCCATACAATATATTCTTATTGGTCTACGAGTATTATCTGTGTTCTCTAAATAATGAGGAGGCACCACGACAAACCCAGTAACTATCTCATCAAATGGTAGTTCTAAATTATGCCCCCTTTACTCTTGTAATTGTTTGAGACAGGATCTTGCTATGTAGCTCACTAGGTAGCCCAGGCTTGCCTAGATCCTCCCGCCCCAGCCTCCTGAGTGCTCAGATTACAGGCCTGGGGCACTTAGCCCTACAAATTCTATCCTTTATAGCATGGAATCATTAACGAACTGTCCCGAGCTAAGAGGTACAGGGGAGTGGTTTGACTCTATGGTACTATATAGTTCGTACGATATAGGGGTACAAACTGAAAACCAAGTATTACAAAACAATCTAGGCTTTTTTCAGGTCAGAGTTACATGGGGCTTTGTGACCTGGGTAGCCACCTACAACACCTCTCCTCGGGGCTGACATACCTGTCCAGAATACAGCATTGCATCACCAGACTCTGGGTAGGAGAAGAGGAACATGTTTATGAAATGGATCAGGAGGCTTGGGGCATTCCTAGACGAGTGGGCATCGTAGGCTGTCCACTTGTAAAAGATAAGGATGACCAGGTAGCCAAACAACGAGGACATGAAGATTATCTCAGGAATAAAGCCAAAGTAGATGTTCAGGGGCTTCTTGAAATAGCTAAGAAGGGAAAGAGAAAGGACATGAAGAACGACAGGCCTATGGCACCCTGCACTGACCGGAGCGCTCGATAGGTTTGTCCACACACTGTTTCCTCAGCTCTGTCAGCATGACATTGAAGCAACAGACAGAGCACTGGAGACAACAGAGACAACTCTTCCAAACTTCTGGGCCTCGAATGGCTCCCGAGCCACCTACACCACTCTCTAAGGAAGTACCTGGAAGACCTAATTATATAGACACACTTTGTAATTTTGTATGAATTACAGATTAAGGAAGGAAAAATGGGGTTGGAGAGATGGCTTATCAGTTAAGAGCACCTACTGCTCCTGCAGATGACCCAAGTACAAAGTCCTAGAACCCATGTCAGCCAGCTCACTATCATCTGTAACTCCAGCTCCAGGGGATCTGATGCCTCTGGCCTCTGTGGGCACCCACACACATGTGCACATAACCACCACATACACACAGTTACAAATAAGAATTCACTAAATCACAAGAAAATTGCTGCATCCTTTTTCAAGGGTCTTCTTTTATACCTATAATCAGATAAGGAACTAATATGAAGCGTCATTTAAGACCGTGAGGCTTGTACAATACAGATTGCTTCTACAGTATAGACTGGAGTCCTGAGTTGCTGATTCTTTTCCAAAGCTGTGCTCTCTTTAGGCAAAGGTGTCACCTGACTAACGTATGATGACAGGGACAGAGGGACTCACATATGGTTGAAAAGGCTCAGGCTGACTCCAAACAGCATGTGGGTGATCCCAAGAATAACAGACATCTTCATCTTGAAGGAGTTGAGGAAGGTCAGCTTGTTGGTTGCAATGTTCCAAATCTGTTACAAAGACAGGAAACTAGAAGGTACTACACAAAGAATTCTCAAGTGAGAAAACACTATGCATCTGCCTAAAGAATACCCTTTCTATTGAAAAGTCGAAGCAACTTATTCAAATAAAGATGATACTAAACCAGATGTTTATGTACCTATCAGTCAGCTTTGATCATTCCCATCAGTTTATTTGATTTGATTTGATTTGATTTTTTTTTTTGAGACGGGGTTTCTCTGTAATAGCTCAGGCTGTCCTGGAACTCCCTTGTAAACCAGGCTGGCCTCGAACCACCACCTCCACTTAAAGGCATGTGTCACCGCAGCCTGCTTCATTCTTGTCAATTTAAAGACGTGGCCAACCTCTTTTCCACATACTCTCTCCCCACTTGCATATTACTTTGAGATAAAGCTGAAATAACCTAGTGTTTTACTTATAAATATGTCAGTATGGATCTCTAAAAGGTAAAGACTTCTTTTAAAAACATGACTACAATACAGTCAGCATATCATAAAAGTATCAACAATGATTGCGTATGTGTGTGTGCTGTGTGTGAGTAGTCTGTGTATGTGTGGTCTGTGTGTGTGTGTGCATGTGTGTGTGTGTATGTATATGTGTGTGTGTGTGTGTCTGTGTGTGTATGTGTGTGTCTGTGCTAGAGTCTGAAGCCAGGGCTTTGTACATCTTGTATATACTGGGCAAGTGCTATACTAAGAAGCTAAGCCCCCAGCACTTCTAATGCTTTCTATCTCCCCAGTGTGTAGGGATTACAGGTATGTGATACCATGGCTGGACCATGACTGGATACTTTTTAAGTATTAGCTGGGGAGTGAAGAGAGGAATCAGTTGTTTAGTAATATTTGTTGTTCATCCAGGGGACCTGGTTTCAATTCCCAGCACCCACGGGGTGACTCACAACCATCTATAACTCTGGTCCTAGGGTGTCTAACGTCTGGCCTCCTCAGGTACCACATTCATGTGATGTACAGACAAGGAAAAGCACCATACACAGTACATAGAAAAATAAAGGCAAACCCACAAGTATCACCTGGCATAGCTCTTGTCACATAAGAAGTTTTGTTTTGGTTTTTTTTTTTTTGAAGGCAGGGTTTCTCTGTGTAGCCCTGGCTGCTCTGGAACTCATTCTGTAGACCAGGCTGTCCTAGAACTCAAAGATCCACCTGCCTGTTTCCTGAGCACTGGGATTAAATGTCTGCATCACCACTGCCTGGCTCACATAAGAATTCTTGCTACATTGCTGGGTTCTTCTGTGTTCCCTTATGGAGCCATCAAGACACATGGCCTAAATGAAGGTTTCACAGATTTTTTTTTTCAAACCCCTTTCTGTCTCAGAAGTGTGACACTACCCTTATTAGATAGGTATATAACTAGGCTGGGCAATTAAACACTCAAGCAAAGTGAATCATAAACTTATTTTGAAAACAATTTTGGTAATAATTTATTAAAGAAGAAAGCAAGTTAATACAGCAATGAATTGGGTGTGCTTATTTTTAGATAAAGAATTAAATCCTAGGGCTGGAGAGATGGCTCAGCGGTTAAGAGCACTGACTGCTCTTCCAGAGGTCCTGAGTTCAATTCCCAGTAACCACATGGTGGCTCACAACCATCTGTAATGAGATCTGGTGCTCTCTTTTGACCTGCAGGGATACATGCAGACAGAACACTATACACATAATAAATGAATTTTTTAAAACTTAAAAAAAAAAAAAGAATTAAATCCTAGACTAGCCATAGCGGCACATCTCCGTAATGCCAACACTTAGGAGGTAGAGGCATGAGAAGTTCAAGGCCATATTCCACTACACTATGAGTTTGCAGACAGCCTGGGCTATGTGAGACCCTGTCTCAAAAAAACAAACACAAGAGTTAGATCTTGCCGGGCGGTGGTGGCGCACGCCTTTAATCCCAGCACTTGGGAGGCAGAGGCAGGCGGATTTCTGAGTTCAAGAGTTCAAGGCTAGCCTGGTCTACAGAGTGAGTTCCAGGACAGCCAGGGCTACACAGAGAAACCCTGTCTTGAAAAACTCAAAAAAAAAAAAAAAAAAAAAGAAAGAAAGAAAGAAAGAAAGAAAGGAAGAAAGAAAAGAAAAGAAAAAAAGAGTTAGATCTTGACTGAGAACTTGATGCTGTCTGGTGTAAAGCATCTGTAACATTTTTCAGACTCAATCGATAGTCTAACTTTATGACTATCGCCCTAGAATGCTGCTCTGGCAGGGGTACATAGGATAAAATTGCAGAAGTATATTTAGGCTCATTGCAAAAACTGTTGGAAATTCTGTCCTAATTTCATGCAAGATTCCTTTAGTTCTCTCTCTCTCTCTCTCTCTCTCTCTCTCTCTCTCTCTCTCTCTCT